CCCTGCTTCTTAGCCACAGCTTCAGAGAAATTGATCCAGTGCCTTGTGGGTTTCTCTTGTAAAACCTAGCCATGGAAACTCCTGACTCCCTCCTGGGAACTCCTGTGTCAGCAACCCAGATTTGACTTCTTACTTTCCCCCAGAGTGGCAAAGTGAAAGAGGTGAAGAGATTTCTGCAGAGCATGTGGTTTCTGGGAACACGGAGGAAAACAGTTTCAGTCTTGAGTTTCACACCTCCCCAGTGTCTGCAGGAACCACCTGCCACCTATCCAGATTATAACGCCAACAACAACAACAACAGAAAATACCCAGGGGTGATGGTTGCAGAAACTGCTGTTTATCAAACCATTCCTGTGTGCTGGGTGTTTTTAGCTGCTGACTTACGTGACCCTTAGGGTAACCCTATGAATCCTTTATGGTTGATTAGACTTGCAGAAAGGTTGTCCAGTGAGCAAGCAGCCAAGCCTAGGTTTGAACACAGAGCCCTACATGTAATCACTGGGCTGTCTGCGAAAACTGAATCTATCCTGATTGAAAAATGGAGCGGTTATGCTCATTTTCCTATTTTCTATATTTTTGTGCTCCGAAATATTTCATTAAAAAAAATCATCAAATCCCCCAAGGCCTGGGGAGACAGATGGGGTGTGAGTGGATGTTGCCTAAAATGGCCTCCAAGTGGGAGAAAGACTTTTTGCTGTGTTTCAGCCTTTGGGCTGAAAGGGTTCTGAGTGTGCTGTCTCTTTCCTTCCCAGTCTTGCCCAGTGCCCAGGGCTGGGGGCTTGGGCTGAACAAAGCGGTAGGGCTGAGTGTGGGTCTCTCTGCAGGGGCCACTGAGGGGCCCTGAAATCTGCCCTGAGGAGGGGGCGTCTCCTCCGCCCTGCGTGGGTGGGAGCACTGGTAGGACTCACATTGTCACTTTGCCATTTTTAGGTGACCTCCTACCCCTCAGCTTCAGTTTCCCCACCTGTTTCTCAGTTTGGGTTGTGGAGTAGAATCACCGGGAAGCTTTAAAAAAATAGCAGGCCTGGACTCCACCCTGGGGGAAGGGACAAAGGAAAGAAGGGAAAAATTTATATATATATATATATACACACACACACACACACAAGATAGGTAACTATACTATTAATCTCTGCTTATCAAAAAGAATGGTTTAAGGGGCTGAGGGTTTAGCTCAGCGGCACAAGCTCCTGCTTGGCAAATGCGAGGTGAGTTTGATCCGTGGTATCCAAAGAAAAAAAGAACGTTTGTGCTTTCATTGTTTGATCACCTTGTTCGTGCGTATATCTTGTAATCTGAACAATTACTTTGAAGATAACAATATGCAATATATTAACCAGTGTTAATCTCCTATTATTTTGTTCTGAAATCTTGTATCATTGTTTTTAATCTATTTTTGCTTTAAAATAAGAAAAAATTCAGGCTCTGAGCTTTCTACACCATCTTCAGTTCTTCTCCTCCAGTTCTTTCTTCTGAGACAGAGTCTTGCTAAGGCTGGCCTTGAACTCACTATGTAGGCCCAGGCTGGCTGCAAACTTGCAGCAATGCTCCTGCCTCAGCCTCCCCAGTGCTGAGACTACAGGAATGCACCACCACACCTAGCTTCTTCCAATTCTTTTTTTTGGTACTGGGAATTGAACTCATGATCTCATGCTTGCCAGGCAGGTGCTTATGCTGCTGAGCTAAATTCCTAGCCTTTCATAAACCCATTTGAGCCCAGCTTTTGCCTCTAGCTCCCAGTAGGACCTGTACTCATACGGTCACACACGATCTTCATCCGAGACCATGCTCCTGAGCCAGGCTGGGATACGGGGTATGCAGCTGCCCCCTGCCTCTGTGCTGGCAGCCTGAGCATGCCGTCCCCTGCCTGCTCCTTTGCAGCCAGCCTCCTCGTCCTTGTGGCCAGGAAACTCAGGGTCATCTGATGCATCTGTCTTTCATTCCTGTCCCCCTCCAACGGCAAAACCTGTGGCTAACCCTCCACAGTGGACCTCGCAGCCTGCACTGCTCATCACTGCCTGCTCCATGTGTGTAAACCATCATCACCTCCTGCCCTCATCTCTGAACAGGTCCCCTCCTTCCTCCGTGCACCCTAAGTGAGCTCTTCTTAATGCAGCAGCCGGGGGCCTGTGTCTCCTGGGCTCTCCACTCTGTAGTGGCCTCCCTTGGAGTCAAGGTCAAAGGCCTGGGAGAGGCCCAAGGTGCTGTAGCGTCTGCCTCCCCACCCGCCTTGTTCCCAAGTCCATCCCATAGGGCCTTTGCTGGGCTGTGCCCTGTGCCGGGCTGGGCTTAGGCACACAGGTTCACTTCCCTGCAGTAAATTCCCCAAGCACCCACATCCTGTTTAACATTGCTCCTGCCACTCTCCATCCGCACCCGAGCCTGAAAGGCCTGACTTGCTGTCTGTTGTTTTGAATCCTTTATAATAGTCTACACCATTTACTTACTCATTTTTAACTGATTTTTATTAGTACGACATGTTTGCAGTACATAGTGATTATGTTTTTTTATTTATTTCTATTTATTTATTTTTGGTACTGGGGACTGAACTCACGACTATGCTGTCCTCCCTATTTCCACTTAAAAAACAAAGACACTGGGGCTGGGGATTCAGCTAAGTGGCATAAGCACCTGCCTTGCAAGCAGGCAGTCGTGAGTTCGATCCCTGGTACCGATGAAAAAAAAAAAAAAAAAAAAAGATGTCATGGAAAAAACAAAGACACCCTCCCCCCACAACAAAGCTCCACAAGGGAAGGATCTTTGCTTTGTGGACACAGCCCTGATATCCAGGATGCTTCCTGCTCACAGCTCGGTGAGTTACTGGTGGGCATAGAAGCAAATCAGTGGGTTCTAGACCCGAGAGAGAAGTGGGCATCCCTAAGGGGTGGGGACTCTTTGGGGTGGGGGTATCAGTGGCCATTCACTTACCTAGGGTGGGAGGAGGGGATCTGTTAGAAATGCAGGGTGATTGTGCACACCAGCAACCCCCAGTCTTGCAGTTTGTGCTGGGAAACCACAACTAGGGGTGAGGGCTGGGGCCTTGGGGTTTGTGGAAACCAGCAAGCTCCGGAGCATATAGTGAGGGCCTGTCTTCTTCCTGTTTTTTCTTAGATTCAGTGCTTGATTACTTACAGGAATACCATAATCACCATCCCCAACACCATCACCACCACCACCAACAGCAGCAGTAGGGCTTTGAGATATCGTACGATAGAAATGCATAGATGGACATATTTGTGATAAAGCCAATGTAGCATTGGGTCTACTGATACTAATTTTAGAACTTTTGTCAACTTTGAATGCTTGAAAATTCAAATTGGATGTTCGAAGATGTTTTATAACAACGTGTTAGAAGGAATGCTGGGAACTTAAAAATGTAGGAGAAAATTTGGAAAATACAGGAAAATTGAAGGAAGCAAAATTACAAGAACTGTCCTAAGCCCCAGCCAGGGGAAAGCCCATTGGTTGGTTTGGGTCTTTCTTCTTTTTCAGTTTTTTAGGATACTTAATAAATGCTAGGCAAGACTTCTACCATTGAATCAGAACCCTTTCTATTCTTTTCTGTTTTATATACCTTTTTTTTTTTTTTTGTATAAAGTGATTAGATGGGTTGCCTAAAATTGAGTACACTGGTTTTTATCAAGTTTTAGTTTTCTCTCTTTTTAAAAAAATTCTAACATGACTACATTCTTGCTTAAACATTTTTTTAAAAACTAGAAAATAGTTAAAAAGAAAACTAGTACCCATAATTGGGAGATAGTTTCATGAAGTTGTTTTTTTTGTTGTTGTTTTTTTGAAACAGGGTCTTGCTGTGCAGTTCAGGCTGGTCTTGAGCCCATTTTGTAGCCCAGGCTGGTTTTGAATTTGCAGTGATCTTCCTGCCTCAGCCTCCTAAATGCTGAGATTATAGGTGTGCGCTACCATACCTGGCTCATGAAGCTTTGATAACAGATAATACCTACATTTTATTTCAACTAAAACACTAAAATTCATCAACATGAGGATTTTCCTCTCATTTAAAAAATCCTTAAATTTTTTTGTTAAAGTAATTTGTACCTAAAAATTCAAACAATCAAATAATACAACATGAAATATAAAAGTTGCTGAATTTCAGTCACTCACTATATGCAATAAAAGTTTGATATATTTCCTCAGATTATCTAGTGTACACTACATTATAATTATAAATATATAAGCTTTTAAAGTTTCGATGTTTTCCATGTCTGCTCATGTAAATACCTGGCTTTCTTCTGTGGCAGTTTGTATACAGTGCTGTAAAATAATTTATTTAACTGCTTCTGATTGAGGTTGTCTGGGTTGTTTTCCAGTATGAATTTTGAAGGGCACAAATTGCTCCTCAACTTGCTTACTAAGGAAAATGGCTGTTCTCCAGCTTTGTGTAACTGCTTTTGTGGAGGAGATAAAGGCTTTTTGTTCTGAAATCCCATGGGTGCAGAGTCTCACTTTGCCATTGTGGCCTCTCTGCTGCGTAGGAGGATCTTCCCAGGCAGCTCGGGGTCCCCTGGCCCAGCCCTGGAGGAGGTCACCCCATTGCTGGATCTGGAAGGGCGGCTCTGCTGATCTGGACCTTACTCGGAATCACCCCATGATACTATGTAAAACTGGGTTCCCAGGACCACGGTGGGTCCTTTTTTAGCTGCATTTGGCACATTTTTTTGCAGACATTTTGGGTTTTTCAGGCTGTATGGTTGCTGTGCAATTCTTCAGCCCCGCTGCTGTGGAAAGCAGCTGTGAAACCTTTCAGGCTTGCCCTTTGTAATTTGTAAAAGTGTTGGCGGGCGGGGAGGGGTGCCCTGCCGGCCTGGAGCACAGCCTTGTGAGGCGGACCAGCATCAGACCCATGGGGCAGGGACCGGGACCTATGTCCGAGTAGGTCCAGCTGAGCTAATTGCCAGGAGCTGATTGAACCTTCCTGACTAAACCAGCCTCCGCTTCTTCAGCCTCATGCTGTGTGTAACAGCCCTGTTCTTGTTTTGCAGCCAGAGCCCAAGCCTGGAGACCTGATTGAGATTTTCCGCCCTTTCTACAGACACTGGGCCATCTACGTTGGCAATGGATATGTGATCCACTTGGCCCCCCCAAGTAAGGGCACCAGGGCTGGGAAGACGTGGGGAACTGGGAGGAACGGTCGTCCCAACTGTCTCCTTGCTCTCTGACCAGTGGTTTGTCCCTGGCTGGTAGGAGCAGACAGTTTTGTGTAGGGCACTGGTAGTCAAACTCTCGTCCTTGGAACCCCTTGTTCTTGCAGAAGGGCTGAGGTGTTTTGAGTACTATGGTCTGTACACAGTGCGTCCCCCTCTTAAGCATAAGGCTTCTAGAAAGAGCACAGGTGCTTGCGCAGACTTGGTTAGGAATCCAACCAAGTTAGGTTAGGAATCCAATCCTGCCTTCTCTTCCCCTTCCTCGACTTCCTCCTCCCACTCCCATTTCTTTCTTTTTTTCTTTTGGGTACCAGGAATCCATCTCAGGACCTCGTGCTTGCCAAGCAGGTGCTGTGCTACTGAGCTATATCCCAGCACCCCCCTTTGGTTGATATCGGAAGTTGAACTCACAACCCTGTGCTGGTCATACAGGTCATTTCTTTCTTTCTTTGAGGCAAAACCTCACTATGTAGCCCCAGCTAACCTTGAACTTGTGATCCTTCTGCCTCAGCTTCCAGATGCACCACTGTGCCAGTTTAGCCAGGTTTCTTTATTTGTCAACGGAGGCTAAGAATACCTGACTTGGAGAATGTTGAGAGAATTCCCTACCCTTGTCCTTAACATTTTCCTTACAATGGAATATGCCATAAGATGCACAAATATAGTAAAAATGTACGCTGAGTAAATTTTAAAAGATCTTTTCCTGTGGCAGGGTCCCAGACCAAGATTCAGAACATTTCAGCACCCCAGAAGCCCCCGCTCACCTCCTCAGCACCCCCATGTCCCCAGAAGTCCCTTTCTGGCTTCTCTTGCCGTGGAAGAGTTTCACCTGTTCTAGAACCTCATGGAAGAGGAGTCACACAGTCCACACTCTTTTGTGTCTGGCTTTTTTCACTCAGCATTTTGCCTGCAAGAGTCATTTTTGTTGTTTGGAGATTTTCGTTGCGGTGTTTCCCTTGTGACTCTGCCGCAGCGGGCTGCACATTCTCCTTACACGTTGGTTTCAGGTTTTGGCTGCTAAGAATCAGAGCTGCTGGCCTCACCTTGGACTTCCAGAGCTCTCATAGGTCCCCAAGTAGGTGGCATCCTCTCCACCTTCTTGTAACAAAACCAGCAGGCTTTGTGTCTGCTGTCTTTTCTTCTTGTTAAAGTGCAAAAAGCACCCCACCCTGACGTTAGAGATCGGCCCCACACCTGTGGGCTCAGGACCAGGTCCTGGTACTCCTGGCAGCACATGCGCGTCTGGAATTCCCTGTCAGCCTCTGTACTGTCGGACTGGAAACCCTGGTGACATCCCTTATGATAAAACACCGCACCCTCAGGCCCTCCTCAGCCCCGTGGTCTCCTGGGCAGTCTCAGGCTCCCCACACCCCACTCTTTTCCCTGCAGGCTCTCTCTTTTGCACCCCTCCTAGCGGCTCCTGTCAAAGGGCTCTGTCTGCATCCTGACCGAGCCCAGGCCGGCATTCTGGTCTGGTCACTGCCTGCTTAGCTCTTTGCAGCGTTTGCTGTGAGCGACCTCTCTGCTTTTCTCCTACACCTTTCTTCCTGTCCTGCTTAGGTCCTTCCTTCCTGGTATCCTGTGTGTTCCCCAGTTCCCTTCCCACTTTCCTAAATGGAATCAGCACCTCCATGGCTCCCTGGCTTCGAATACTTTCTGTTTGTCAGTGTCTCCTGAGCTCAGAGCTGCAGCCTCTGACTTGCTTCCTTGTTCTATTATTTATTTATTTATCTTTGTCTTTTTAGGACGGGGTCTCGCTATGCAGTTCAGGCTGGCCTTGAGCTCACTTTTTGTAGCCCAGGCTGGTCTCGAACTCACAACGGTCCTCCTGCCTCAGCCTCCCGAGTGCTGGGATTACAGGTGTGAGCCACCACGCCCGGCTTCTGTTTTTTATTTTTATTGGTCTATGTTTGCTGTGCATAATGATTACATTCCCAGGTGGTGTCTGTATGTGGCACATCTGAATTGTTTTTTCATCTCCTCACGCTCCCTTTTCTCTCCCCTCCCTTCATCTCTTGGTCCCCTTCCCCTTTGCAAAAGATTTATTTTCCTATTTTTTTATTTTTAGTTTTTATTTTGCTCTTTATTTTTATTTGGGGTTCGTTGTAGAAGAGAAACCGTGTGACATTTAAGCCTGTGTCTGACTTACTTCACTTAACATTCTGGTCTCAGGAAACATCCACTGTCCTACAAACGACTCACTTATCCTTCGGTATGGCAAAGTAGTACTCCACTGAGTGCAAATACCACGTGTTCTGTATCCATTCATCTGTTGATAGGCACATGGGCTGCTTCCAAGATTTAGCTATTATGAACTGTGCTGCTGTAAACACAGGTATACGTGTGTCCCTGTCATAGGGACTTTTCTCTTCCATGTGGAACAAGATTCTAGTTGACACAGAAGCAGCAATCTGTACCGTGGGCAGCAAGGCCCAGGGTGATGTCGCCCCTGCTTGCCTCTCCAGATCTCGTCTTTCTCCTCTTTCATCCGAGGTCTCTAAACCTCACTCACACTGGCCTTGCAGCTGTCCTTGCAGGCTGCCGTGCTCATTCTTCTGAGCTCTGTGTGTTTGCTGTTTCTCCTGCTTGGCCTGAACTTTCTTAGCTTTCAGCACAGCTGTTTCTTCACCACCCAGGGCTCAGTGGGATGTCGCTTCCTGACGTGGTCTTTCCCCCCGAGCTTCTAGGTTACATCCCTTGTCTTCTGCGCAGTGTTTGTCAGTACCTGAAGGTGCCTTATTTGTGTATCTGCTCACTCGTGTTGCCCTCTTATGGGAGTGTGAGCTCCTTGAGGTGCTGGGTTTAAAAGGCATGGAAAGGAGGGTGAGCCTCACTCCGTCCCGGTGGGCAGAAGTGTGGAGAGGAAGGAGAGGGGCAGGAAGAACGCCGGACCCAACCTGAAGCAACTTGCAGGGGTAGGAGCTTCCTGGAGTGCTGGAGCAAGGTCCAGGGCCAGTGTCACTGGGTGGCCTCAGAGGAACGAAAGGCTCAAGGCTGTAAGATCCTCCAAGGAGGGGTTACCCAGGCCCAGCCTCTGTCACCTGTATGTTACCAGTGACCCAGCACTGGTCACAGAGTCTCCCTGGGAAGACTGACTTCTCTTGGTTGTTGATCAGTTGCAGGGACAGCTGTCCTGGTCACTCACCTCTGCTTCATGGTAGCCCTGAGTCCCGGCTGGAGATGTCCACTGTGGGTTTTGTTGCCGCTCTCACGGGAAACCTCTCTCTGCTCTCCACGGGGAACCTTCCTCCTTTTATTCTCCCTTCCTCTCCCCTAGCCTCTCTCTCTTTCTTCTTTTTTTATTCTTCGCGACCCCCTGGACCAAACTCAGGAGCGTGTACTTGCCAGGCAGGTGCTTTGCCACTCAGCTAAGAGACCGGCTGCCTGTCTTTTAAATAACCTGAAATCTCTTCATCTCTACCCCAATCTGAAGCCCAAACATCTAGTATTCTTCTGCAATACCATGCGGCTACAGTACAAATAGACAGCGGCTCATGCTGGCTAAAACTCGGCACTTTTAATTTCTCTGTTCTGTGGGACTTAGACATTTACTGCTGGAGGCCAAGCAAACAATTGGGGGTGCCCTGTGCCCAGTCATGCGTTCCACTCTGCAGTATTCCCACTTTGTGTCCCTTGTCTGCACCCCCTGCACCAGGCAGGGGCTCCTCTCTGGTCACAGATCCAGCTGACCTTATTCTCCCCTGGCAGCCTCGTCCTCCTGTTGAATGCAGACTCCTGCTGTTCGAGGTCATTTGATTTCCAGAGCTTTGTTGCCCCTCCTTAGTCTCTGGTCTGGTGCCCACTGGGCCTCCTGAGCATCGCATCTAGGGGAGCAGCTGTGGGGTTATGGTCCCTGTTCCCAGGAGAGTTGGGACTCCTCCTGAACCTCAGCTATGTTTCCTGCAGCCAAAAGCTTTGTGAGTTCAAAAACCCGCAGTCCTGTGGAACCGTGAGAGGTGCCCATGGTTTGTTCTCCCAAGAGACGAGGACATTTGTAGCTCATATTTGCATAACGAAGAGGCTGTTTAGGTATCACAGGTGCCAGCTTCTCTTGGTTAAAAAAATCTCAATAAGTCATGGAGCTTTAATAGTCCTCATTTCAGATGAGGATACCAGGACCCAGAGGCTACAAGCGCCACCAAAGCTTCGGGCCACCCAGCCATGTGTATGACCCCTCGGTATCTTGGTTATGCCCTGTGCATGGTGCCACGGGTGGATGCCAGTTCTGAGCCCCTGTGGCCTGCCCGAGACCAGTTCCTCTGTTTCCTCTCTGTGAATCCACAGGTGAAATCGCAGACGCAGGTATGGGCAGCATCATGTCCACCCTGACCGACAAGGCTGTCGTGAGGAAGGACCTGCTGTGTGATGTGGCCGGAAGGGACAAGTACCAGGTCAACAACAAACATGATGACAAGTACTCACCGCTGCCTCCCAGCAAGATCGTCCAGCGGGCAGAGGAACTGGTGGGGCAGGAGGTGCTCTACAAGCTGACCAGCGAGAACTGTGAGCACTTTGTGAATGAGCTGCGCTACGGAGTTGCCCGCAGTGACCAGGTTTGTCCCCAGCCTGTGTCTCCTTCCCCAGGAGCCAGACCACCCCTCTAGCTAATAGTAACTGGGCTCAGGGTGACTGGAGATAGAGGCATGAACAAAATAAGAGAGATGCGATTCCTATGATCGAGGCTGTCACAGTTAGCGTGGGGTAACAGGCAGGTTGCCAGTGCAGATCAGTGCAGTTAGGGAGGCAACGGCCAAGGAAGGGAGTCATAGCCATGATGGCCAGGCCTGTGGCTGAGCTCTCCCTGCCCATCCAGTGACAGATGACCCTCTTTAGCCAGGAAGTAGGCTTTATTATTCCCACTTTACAGATGGTGACACTGAGGCTCCCAGGCCATATATAACTTGTGTGTAGCCATTTATTCACTCAACATATGTCTGTTGAGTCCCCAGACCTGTCCCTGTCTTTCCCTAAGAAGTAAACACAGTTGCACATGAGTGCCAGAGGCAGGATTTGAAGCCCAGGTCTGTCTGATCAGCTGCACCAGGCTTATAGGTAGCTCTGTCCTCAAGCCTTCCAGAGCCCAGGAGACAATCTGGGTCAGTCAGGAGATTGCAAGATGCAGCTTTGTTTACTTTGTCTGGGTTTGCTCACGCTTTGTTGGATTTCTTTGATGACCTCTCTCTTCCTTGCCCTTTTGGTGCTTCCCTATCTTTTGTTGCAGGTGGGGTAGAGACCATTGAAAGAATTCTTTTGTGGCTTTTTCTTTCTTTCTTTGTTTTCTTTCTTTCTTTCTGAGATGTCTTTCTGTGTTGCTCAGGCTATCCTCAAATCAGCAATCCTCCTGCCTCAGTCTCCAGAGTAGCTAGGATTATATTATAGGATGTAGGCCATCATGCCCAGCTTTACACAGCTGTTGATGCAAAAGACTACATATATAATATATATATATATATATATATATATATATATATATATATATATTCTTCTTCTCCCTCCTCCTCCTCTTCCTCTTCTTCCTCCCCTTCCTCTTTCTCCTCTTCCTTCTCTTCCTCCTTTTTTTCCTCTTCCTCTTCCTCCTCTTCCTCTTCTTCTTCTATGAATGATGAGGTTAGGATCTGTCAGATTGTTCATTTTTAATTTTTAGTTTTTGAAATGCAGTCTCTTTTTCCTTGCTCACTCTGATGGGTGGACCTAGGCTGGATCTGGGCTGTGCGTTTGTGCCAGCTGTATGACTTGCGAGATTTAGTCAGGGTCCTCAAACCTGGTCATGTACAATGTTAACTGATCTTGGAGGGTTTCCATAGGAAGCTTTAGGACAAGTCGTCCCTCAAAGCTGGGACTCATTGAGCACAGAGCTGACTCAGAAAACGAGCTTGCTAAGTTAGAGCAGAAGCCCTCGTGCTTGTCCTTATCTTCCTTTTGCTTGGTGCCCCCAGTGCCTCATCCACGGAGCTCTCTGGGCCATGTGACTCCCACAGGTGGGAGGCCTTTGCCATCATCACCTGCAGGGATCAGCCTGAGTCTCCCTCACACTGCTGACGGCCACCTGTACTCACACCACTGACCCTTTGGTTGGTTCCTCTTTTTCTCTATGATGAGGTGTTAGACCTCATTCAGTGGCTGTCTTCTTGTTTTTCTCCATCAATTGGATGATTATTATCAGATATTTATATATGACTGTTAAGGGAGGTTAATATAAAAATTCCGTACTACATATCTAACTAGATAAGGAAAGGACAATATTACCAATGGTTGGTGAAGATCCCTGGAGTCTCTGGGTCATCATCTGGCTATCACTCCCCTGAGAAGTGACAAAAGCCTCCTTTTGGGAAAGTCAGAGGGCGAGACCATGAGAAGAATTTGTTTAGTACCTGGACATGGCAGGCTAAAAACATTCTGCGGTGAACCAAGAGATCTGGGGAGAGGGAACCTCAGTAACGCCTCTAAGATACTGTCTCCTGACGTGCGAGTGTAGCTTAGTGACAGAGCACTCACCAGCACTGTGAGGCACTGGGTTTGGTCCCCAGTACCACAAACAAACAAAAACCAAAGCTAAGCCATTTTTCTTTGGAGTCATACTTGGGGCTGCCTGGCTGTTACTTTTCCAGCATCCTAAGGATTCCTTTCCTTTCTCTCCTGAATTAATGTTCCTATCCTCTGTAGCTCACGTCCTTCTGTTTCTTGGTTCACTCTGTTGTGAGGGTGAACAGCTTTCCCTAAAGTGTACTGAGAAGTGTTGCATTTGGAAAGGACTCCCTATGTCTTCGCTTTATCCTCATACTGGGTAGTTTATATAGAATTCTAAGTTGGAAATAATAGTTTTTTTTGCACTTCGAAGGCCCTGCTTGTGTGTGCGTGTGTGTGTGTGTGTGTGTGTGTGTGTGTGTGAGACAGTCTGGAGATGGAACCAAGGGCTTCACACATGCTAGCCAAGCACCCAGCTGAGCTACATCCCCAGCCTCCCTTTTAGTTAGTTTTTTTAAAAAGATTTTTTGATAGAGGGTCTCAATGATGTTTTCAAACTTGGGATTCTCCTGCCTCCTGAGTAACTAGGATTGGAGTAATGTTCTCTTTCACAGTATTCTGATTTCAGCCCTGTGATGCATACTGTGGTCATATTTCCACCATTGGAATTACTGTAACATCAGTGGCTGAGCTGGGTCTAATAATCTGTGCAACAATAAAATTATCAGTGGTATCCAAAGGTAGCACTGATCTTGGACAGATTGTTTTTCCCGAAAAGTCTGCACCCTCAGGCTGACTGGATGCCACTTTCTTGTGTTTAATCACGTCGTGCTCTTTATGTGCAAAGCATGACCACAAACAGTGAGCTTGCCATTTTCCTTGACAGTCTCCTTTGTGTGAACAGATTACATCAGCATGTGATTTCACTCTGGGAGCTTCTGTAGAGAACTAGGGCTGTATTGTTCCTCTCCCATTGTCTGCAGAACATTTCTCCCACTCTGACACAGAGCTTAGCAAGGAAAACACTGGATGCAAGAGTTTTTTTCAGGTTCTCTAGCAAAGTAACCCAACAGAACCATGGCTGCCACAAAACTGTGGCTAATTACTGTTCCAAGGAACTTTAAAGACTGATTGGCAGTCAAACATCTATTTGGTAGCTCCATCCAAACTTCCAACCAAAGAAGAGCATAAATGAAGAAAAAAGCTGTGAGATGCAGAACATGGGCTTTCTATTCTAGGAGGAAGCAGGAGGGATAGGAGCAGGGATTATTAACTCTGTGTTTCCCTGTGATGTCCCAGTGTCAGCTTTTGGAGAGTCCCCAGTACAGGTACCTTTTGTTTCTACGTGGGCCATCAGATTTCCAGAGAAATCTTCCAGACTCTTGTGTGGAAGGTGAAGTTCTGGGGGCCATGAGGTGGAGGAGATCTCAGGAATGGCAGGCAGAAACACCAAAGTGACACCCGGGATTTGGAGGCAGATTTATGTTACGTTGATGGGTGATGACTGGAACTATCCCCAGAATGTCAGGCCCTGATCTCTTGTGGTCTAGGGCTTGTATGTGGTAAGCAAGCAGGAAGCACAGAGGCAGGATGGCCTGTCAATTGGGAATTGGTTCTTACAATATGCATCACAGTGACCAGTCATTTCCAAGAAACTAACAGGAACTGTATATTACCTGGGCGACTAAGAAACTGAAGTATACTGGCTGGGGTGGGGCATCTTCTGCTACATTTCCCGTTTTTTTAGTTTTCTTGGCCAATCTTTGCTGGACATATTACATGGGAATCTTCTGAGACAAGGCCCAATTAGAAGCAGTAACATTGGGGCTGTCAGTGGTCCTAGGATGGGCCGTAACCAAGGTCCCCAAGACTGAAAATTTCCACCAGGAGTTTGTGGTTTGTTTCTCTTATTATAAGGTTTCTCCTTGGGCTAGTGATTTAGCTCAGTGGTGTAAGTGCCTGTCTGGCAAGCACCAGATCATGAGTTCAATCCCTGGTACCAGAAAGAGAAGGAAGAGATGGAAGGGGAGGAGGGATGGGGCAGAGGAAGAGGGAGAGGGAGAGGGAGAGGATGAAGAAGAAATTTGACTCCTACAAGAGAGTGAATGAGTTAATCTGATCTAGGAGAGTGTCCGGTATGCCTTGAACACTTGTCTAATCATCTGTTTTCTTGGGACAGTCATCCATAGAGCTAAGGCAAAGCAAGGACTGGGTAAGTCTCTTAAAAAGGCCCAAAAATCAGGGGGAGTATTACATTGGGGAATGGGGCAATCCTGGGACAGTGTCCTCAGGCTTCAGTTATCCAGAGTGACCAGTGCAGGACTTTGAGTGCCTTCTCTCTTCAGAGTGAGCCCTGGAGGAGCTGTCTAGTCCAGGCAATTTCTCTAGAACACTGGAGTGGTAGATCTCAAGCTGAATTTTAGAGACTTGTAGAGGTAGTTACTGTGAGCCTCGGTTATATTTGTGGGCAGGAGTGCCTACAGGTATAGCTGGTCTTTTAGCTAAACCTTTTTGGAGCTAGTTTCTATAGGGCAGTGTTTTATTTTCTCAGCTTTTTAGTTTGTGGTCTGTAGGTTGTATGTAATATTTATTTATCTTTTTGAGGCAGGGTCTTGCTGTGTGGTTCAGGTTGGCCTTGGGCTCACTTTGTAGCCCAGGCTGGTCTCAAACTTGCACCGATAGGCCTGCCTCAGCCTCCCAAGTGCTGGGATTACAGGCATGTGCCACCATGCCTGGCCTGTAATGTTTATTTAATCTTTAATAGTTCTGCCATTGTTTGAATTATCTCTGCTACAAATGCAAGCCCACAGTCACTGCCAGTAATCAAGGGTAGGCCACGTCTGGGGATGATTTATCAAGCAGAAGCCTGTGAACTTACGCTGTCGTGGCTGGCCTGTGTAGGTGCACATGAGCACTAAGTCATGCCAGGTGGCCGTCACGGCCAGTGACACAGGTGCTGAAGCCTGTGCTTGCTGCAGGGGTATGAGCGCTAGCATGGTGGCTTGAGCTTGCAGAGTGGATAGTGGGGGCAGGTCTGCCTCTGATTCAGATGGATCTTCCAGGTGCACCAGGTTAAAGTTCTGGCTGG